AAAAAACTGTAGATTTTTTACATAAGCAGAAAAGGGGGAAAATGTGTGTTTATTGTCAAATATATAGGCCTAGCAGAAATATCAAGAAACCTGTTCAAGTTTTTCAGTGATTTTCTCAGTTATGGTTACGTGTTAAATAAACCGGTTGTATGTGTGCACTGCCATGTTTATAGTTTCCGAAAAAGACCTGAAGCTCACAAATATTTGTATTTACGCATCCATTGTATGTAGCAAAGAAGATTTACGTCATGTTTTGAGATTAAACTTAAATAAAAGTGAATTTTATAAATAAACACACAGCTTATGCTACGAACGAATAAAGTAATATATGTTAACGTAATAAGCGAAAAGCAGATGAACACGATTTATAACAATAGTAAAGAAACTGGAAAAATTGGTTTTATTTATAAGATACGATATTATACCGCAATAAAATAAACTACCTACTTTTATCGCACACAAATATATATATATATATATATATATATATATATATATATACACACACACACACACACAAATATACATACACTCATGTATGTATGTAAAGATGCGAAAGCCTTCAAATTGTACACAAGAATAATCTTTCATCATTTTTGAGTTTAAATGTTAGAGAAATTTTTTACGAAAATATATGTAAAAAAGGCGACAACGCTGAGGCATTAGTTAACGGATTCACTCATCACATATTTTCAAAATATATTTATGATTAAAAGAAAGAAAGGGGTTTTCTCAATAATAGATTGACTAACGACGGGCCCTAAACAAGATTACGATGAAGATTAAAACAAATTAAATAATCGTACGTTCGTAAGCTCTCTTCGAGCGAGCGATACAAATAATTGCAGAAAAAGTCACCTGATTATTTTCAAAGGCATATCCCGCAGATGATATCTGCCGAAAGACTTCTTTATGTGCAAAATGTAGATTCAATTCGATGAAGATTCAGCAAACTGTAGCAAACACTGTAGACGCCAGGGGAAATTGATTCAAACCTTGACACTGTGATAGCAACGCTCTCGTTTAAAATGCTTCGCTTTTTTGTTTTTTCTTGAAGTTATTAAATAGTCAAGCAAAACGATTCAAGCAGTGAATTAATTATTCATGCCTTTGTTTATTATTAAAATTTGCACTTTTAGTAGGAGTAAGTCGAGTTGTGAATTTCATATGCCTGGTCTAAAGAGGTGTATGTATGTGTGTGCTACACAATAACATCGAAAGTTTTCTTCACAACATTCACAAAACTAAGAGAGTAGTATTGCGTTGCATAGCCCAAGGCCTTGAACTCTTCAATAAGCACAAGTAACTTTTGTCAACAATCATTCGCTCACAGGACATCCAGTTTCTATCCCCGCCAGTAAGTCAACTATGTCACCATATCAAGCGATGTACGGAGGCAATGCAAATCACAACAAATGACTGATGACGAAGGACGAAGATTTGAGATGAGCCACCAAAAATGTATATAGTTTAACACACTTGGACTAGGCCCAGATCCCTAATAGATTCGTACTAACTGGCCTATGACCGGATTCTTTGCATTCGAGGATCAACTTCTTGCGTTTACTTTGCGTCGAAGAGTTTTATTAATTGACTTGAATTTCAATTGATTTTTACCTTAGTCGACGCTCGTTTCCCTTGACGTGAGACAGATCTGAACGGTTGGGGTATTTGATATTTTACTTTTTTGATTGGAAAAGTTTTTTAGTTATTGTAGGACGTTTTCTTATTATTTCTTTTTTGAGATCGTGTTCTTTTACGTTGTGGGAGTTGCATGTTTGTATAATGTCGCAACAATAATACGCGGACTATGAAAAAATAATGAAAGCTCTGGCGAAAGGCACGCTCTTCCCGATTTACTCATTCTAATTGATTTCTCCTTTTAATTGCTTTGACAGGTTTCATCAATGAAAACATTTAAATGCGGCTCAATTTACGTAGGCGTAACCAAGTGGCTCGAAGACTCTCTTGCAAGTCTTTCAAATTTCCAAATATGTTAATAATGTTTCGTTTCAAGAAAAAAAAATCCTTAACAGCTGAGCAAATTTTTACTTATCACTCACTTCTTAGAGCAGTCAAGACATTTCAAGTGATATTAAATTGTTCTCTTGCCTTACTGCATGCTCGAGTAATTTATCTCTTATTGAACTTGAGCTAATTAAGCAAAACGTTGATCATCTTCGAATAAAATTTAGTTCAGCTAAACTAAAGCTCAGATCCCTGCACAAAATTTTGCCTATCTCTCTTCATAGTTCTCAGCGATTTATACTGCATTGCATGGAACTCAATAACGCTCCATGCGTTAAATAGTTGAAGAAAGAGAGAAAGAAAAAAATCCTAATATAGATAGGAAAAATTCTTTCATTTAAAGGAATCTCTCTGTGTGCAAATTACGAGAATATTCGGCTCACGAACCAAAAATATTTCTTGTACGATTAACTGCAATCATCTCCGCATAATTACTAAAGGAAAAAAAAGCAGAGATTTTTGAAAATTTTTTCCGCATTTTTTAAATTCAAAATCCAGTTTAATTAAAATTTATTTATTTTTCATGCACTTAATCCAAAATAATATTAATAAAATGCTTTATATTTTCCTCCTTTGTTTTTTTTTTTTTTTTTTGTTTCTATTGTTGAATTTAATTAACTTTAATTTCGAAGCACGAAAATATTCAGTGAAAACTTCATAAAAAGAAACTTGAACTTTTGCGAAATTTTTTGTTTTTGTTTTTGCTTTTGTTTTTTTTTTTTTTCTTTTTTTCTTGAATTTTTTTTATTATCATTTTTTGTCTGTTAAAGTGGCATAGGCATAGGCATGCATGCATACATGCATACGAATTGAAACGAATACAATTACAAAATTAATTGAATTGAAAATCGTTAGCAACATGCGATATTGCGTTAAAAGTGTGTGTTAAGTGTGAAATTAAAGCCTTTATCTAAAAATCAAAAAAAAATAAAAAATGAAGCAAAAATCATTGCAAACATACTGTAATTGAGGAGGCAAACAGCAAATAATGAGACGGACGGACAAACAACAAACATTGGTATGATGGTACGAGTTCATCTGCCAAGTAAAAGTTTCAAATAAATATATTTGCAACGCACATCGACGCGCATCGAGACGCATATACTTATAAAAGATGAGTAATTGAAAAGGTCTGTCGTGAATTCTCGTAAATGTCTGAACATTGTGGTTTATGGCCACGACTCTTCTTTACGTGACTAGATGGATGGATGGATGGATGGATGGATGGATGGTGTAAAAGTTGCTTTACCCAGGCAAACGTATACATACAAGCACAAAGATACTCTTACTGCACCTATACATTGATGCACAAAGATTACATATGTATAAACTTTAAGTGAATGTTAATTACCGCACAACCGTTGCCTGCTTACCTTTACTTATATTCCGACTCTAATGATGACGTAAAATTTAATATAAATATATACATATATAGATAAATATATCTATATATAGTAATTGTTTGTGTTTCTTTTTGTTTTTTTTTTTTTTTTTTGTTTCATGCATATACTTATATGAACATCAAATTAAGGTTTGTTTGCCTTTCTATTTAAAAATTAAAAAAAAAAAAATGTAAAAAAAAGAAAAAAGTTTTTGTTGCTGTTAATTTATTGATTTTAAGCTCTACTTACATTTACGTTCACATTTGATTTGTGTGTCTTGACTTTAGTCTGCTATTGCTGCTGGCGCGTTGTTTTTTTTTTTCTTTCAAGACAGAAAAATGTAAAATGAAACTTAAGCAAGTGAGATGTAATGGGAAAAAGGAAAAGAAGAAAAGAAAAATATCATGGAAAACCGACAAAAAAGTTCACTGACATCATGTACTCATGTACGCACTTTACATATCTATAAGAGAAATCATTAGTAAAAAATGCCGTTGGTCTGTAAACAGTGAAATACAAATAAATATCCGTTTGCCATAATAGCTTAAAATGTTTTTTATTTAACATTAGCACACACTTAAGAGGTTTACTGAACTTTTATTTATTCATTTATTTAGTTATTTCTTCTTCGTCTTCTTCTTCTTTTTCTTCTTTTTTTTTTTTTTTTTGCTTTGCTTTTTTAGTTAATTTGATATGATACGTAATTCCTTTGTAATTGTGAAAAGCAAATTTTACGCGATATGCTTAGCGTTTGGGAAAGACTCTTCAATGTAAATGAGTTTTATGTGTGTAGTGCTTGTGCATTGTATATGGAGATAATCTTTTAATTATTTGAAATTTTTGTTTTATTTAATTATGTTGTTGACTTTTGGTTCGCATTCTACAGACATTGACAACGATCCGAATCGTGCTCCTCCATGCGATCCTGCCGTTTGCGTTTTGCCCGATTGCTTCTGCTCAGAAGACGGTACAGCTATACCTGGCGATTTGCCCGCAAAAGATGTTCCCATGATGATTACTATAACGTTCGATGATGCGATTAACAACAACAACATTGAGCTATACAAGGAAATGTTTAAGGGTCGCAAAAATCCCAATGGTTGCGACATTAAGGCCACCTTCTTCATATCGCATAAGTACACCAACTATTCGGCAGTGCAGGAGACACATCGCAAAGGTCATGAAATTGCAGTGCATTCTATAACGTAAGTGAAATTTTCTCCTTTCCTATATACCAAGTTACATGGGCTTTACGTTGGATATTTAAAAATTTGTAACTTGAGAACGCGTTTTCTTATTATAAGCTTTAAGTGTAGAAAGAGACTTGGAACACTTGTCGAACGGAAGTTGACATTATTACAATTGTCACGTTCTTCAGCTTAAAGAAACTCGAATTCGAATTCAAATTAATTTGCGATTCATTTCTTGTTGCTTTATTCAAACATTTTTTGTTTTCCTTTTTTTTTTTTTTTTTTTTCTTTTTTTTTTGAGCTTGATAATCATTAGTGATATACTGTATTGCTTCGTCTAGTATATGTACTCTAGGTGAAAATCTATGAAACAACTTGAAATTGAAAAAAATTTCTCTAAAATATTGGGCAGCCTTATGAGCAGGCTCGGTTGTGCAATCTGGTTCTCGTAAAGCAGATTAATTGGACCTGCTTTTGAACTTGGTTGCAATGAACTTTTCCAGAACTTTTTCCTTTTTTGTTTGACATCATTTGACACATTTAGCCAACCTGTCACATGCCATAGGTACTCAAGAGGGCTTTGTGCGATTGAAAGCTAACTCAAACGAGTTTCCAAACAACTGCCTTTCGAGGCGTTATCTTCTTATTCATTTATTTTCTCTCGTTGACCGCCGGTGTCAAGACACAAAATGTTGTATACTCTTCTTAGTCGAAGGATTTAAAACTACATTGCAGCTGACCTCTCTCCATTTCCATTAACAAAGTTTCCCATTCATTGCCTCAAATCGCTTTAGTCGCATTCGCTTTTCTCGCCCAAGGATATAATGAGTTTGTGCGGACGTATACGACACCCAGGAGGATTTGAAACTTTTACTATACCGATCAAATCAGAATCGCTTTCTGAACTGATTTAAGCTTGTCTGTCCGCCTGTCCTGTATTCTTGTGCTCGACCTACAGGCCACAATTTTTAAAATATTTTAATGAAATTTTGTATATCGAAGTGTTTTGGACGAACGACAAACGCCATTAAAAATGATTCGAATTGGATCACTTTCCCAACCACTGCCTATATAAGGCTTGATTTTGAAAATTTGTTATATGAGTAACTGTAGTAAGCGAAGGAGCGTAGGGTATATAATGGTGCTACATGACCCTCTATAATAAGTTTACATGTTTATCCTTTAGGCCAGCAGTCAATTTGTTCGAATTTTTTTACGCTTGTACTTTCAATGCTTGGGCGAAAATTTAAAAAATTATGAAAACTTTTATATATGTATTTTAAAAAACATTAGAAATATCTGAAAACTTGGGCAAGTCAACAACTTGACTTGTTTAAACAAATATATTTTGGTACTTTTGTCGATTCGCTTAATCTTCGTTTTCTCTCTCTTTGATTTCTCATTCGCAGCCATAACGATGAGGAACGTTTCTGGTCGAATGCCACCGTTGATGACTGGGCTAAAGAAATGGCTGGTATGCGCATTATTATTGAGAAATTCTCTAACATAACAGATAATTCGGTGGTGGGTGTACGAGCTCCGTACTTGCGTGTCGGCGGCAATAATCAATTCACGATGATGGAAGAGCAGGCTTTCTTATACGATTCGACTATTACCGCACCTTTATCGAATCCTCCACTTTGGCCTTACACTATGTACTTCCGTATGCCTCATCGTTGCCATGGAAACTTGCAAAGCTGTCCTACACGCTCTCATGCTGTTTGGGAAATGGTTATGAATGAGCTTGATCGTCGTGAGGATCCTAATAACGATGAGTATTTGCCTGGCTGTGCTATGGTCGACTCCTGCTCGAATATTTTAACTGGTGATCAATTTTATAATTTCTTAAATCACAACTTTGACCGTCATTACGATCAAAATCGTGCTCCGTTGGGTTTGTATTTCCATGCTGCCTGGTTAAAGAATAATCCCGAATTTTTGGACGCTTTCTTGTATTGGATCGATGAAATTCTGGCCAATCATAATGATGTATACTTTGTAACTATGACTCAGGTCATACAATGGATGCAAAATCCACGCACCATCAGTGAAGTTAAAAACTTTGAACCCTGGAGGGAGAAATGCGTTGTTGATGGTAAACCAGCTTGCTGGGTACCAAATGCCTGCAAGTTGACTTCGAAGGAAATTCCCGGTGAAACTGTTAATTTGCAGACTTGTGTAAGATGTCCCAATAACTATCCTTGGGTCAATGATCCAACCGGCGATGGTTTCTTCTAAGTCAACAAATTCAAAGTAAAGAAAAAAAACAAGCCTTTAAAAGCTAAGCCTACTTCTGTACTTTTTTAAAATGTTAAGCCAATATCTCAGCCGTTTCTTTATCTATCTTAAATTGTTCCCGCTCGCCGTTAATCTTTTCGTCGAAGCGCTGAATACTACTGAAATGTTCTTTCAAAACGTTTGTATATAGTTTTTTTTTGTTTTAAACGAATCTTTATAAAAAGAAATTTTTGTTTTTCTGTTTAGTTTTTTGTTTTTTTTTTTTTTTTTTCAATTCTCTTAACTCTCACGCCTATCTTGTTTATATCATATTTTTGGACTTTTCATCGTATATTCTCGAGTTTGACCAGCTCTTCTTTTACGATCATTCAAAAGAAAGGAAATTTTGCATTAATTCTCATGCGAGAAATAAAATGAAAAGAATGAAAGAAAGTTTTGAAAATTCAGAACATTTTGTGTGTGTGTTCTTTTTCTTATATGTAGCGTATTATGTTATTTAAATTTTATTATTATTATTATTACGTTTATTTTTTTTTTTTTTTCTACTCTTATTAACTTGTAATTCGTTTAATTTTATTAAAACAAGCACAACATAAAAATACTATGAAAACAAAAGGGAAAAAAAACCTATACCTGCATATTATGTATCGTTCAATATATATAATGTTAAGAACACTAGCACAACAACAACAACACCAACAACAACCACAAAAAACAAGCATAATATTGTGTGTATAAACAATGTAAAAAACAAGACAAAAGAAAAATTCAATAAAAACTGAAAAAAAAAATAATATATATATAGTTTTTTTATTTCAATCGCACACATAGAAAAGATATCAGAGACTCAACGGAAGTTTGTGAAGTAGAGAAAAAAAATTTGATTGAATATAGATATCATTGAATAATAAACAACTAATTAAACGGAAGACTGAACTAAACACAATCGCCCACTTTTCGTTCGCTCCGCTTTTTGATCGCCCCACCGTAGACCTGTCAGCCTTTTTTGTAGTAATTGTCAGCTTATGCTATGAATCTTCCAATTCAGTTAAACCGCCTACAGATCGAATATAAGCTTGAAAGATTTTCATCATCATCCCCTTAATTGTTAATGGCATTTGAATAACAAAAAGAAACGAAAAAAAAAAAAAAAAAAAAATTTAATTAGCTAAACAAGCCTTAAACTTTAACATAGGTGTGACGGCAAGTCAAATATTGTGTAAGCAAATCTTCAAATAAATTAATTTTATGTGCACAAAAAATAATAGAAAAACTATAAAAAAATACCTATAAATTTATAGAAAAAAAAAAAACCCAAACTTTATCTTTTTTCATCATTTGATTCGTCTTTATCCGTAGGTTTATTATCATCATCTTTTTTTCATATTTTTACGGACGTAATAAAAATCAAATCCCATGATATAAAAAAGTTAGAGAAGCAACGCTTAATTTTCAAAACGCACTAACCGCTAACTAAGTAAAGTAGAGCTACATTATGGTCCACTAAGTTCCATTTGCAAAAATCGAAGAAGTTCTCCAAAGGTCTCCAGCAGACTTGAGAGCTGTAGTTTTTTTCTTCTAACGTTCGAGAAATCCTTAATTACTTGATAGGTTTCCTCCACTGTCCCTATTCACTTCAATGCGCATTACACTTAACGTACACATACGCATGTAAACGTGAACGTGAAATATTTATGTAGAAAAAATACACATTTACTGTAAAAAATATTTTATTCGCGTATTGACGGCCGCTAACACTAACCATATATTTTTCCTACTCGGCCGCACCTTTAAAAACCTTCCCCCCTGTTATCGCGAATGGCTCACCGACTCGTTTTTTTCACATCGTCATACAAATCAAAGATTTGCTTAACAAATGCGTGATCCGATCGAACTGGAGCATGATGAGTAAACCGCTTGGACTAGCACTGCCCACTCGAGTGCTTTCGAGTGTATCGCGATATGAATGATTAGGCGGATGACACGTAAAAAAGTGCCCTTGAGATGCTTTTTTCATATTCTGACTGATTTCTGAATATCGACGAGTAATTGTTGTTTCACCAGGCTTCAACAATCCACATTCTTCTGGTCCCGAACACAGAATATCGTCGTCTTCCTATACATATGGTTGGTACGTACGCCTGAACCTAACCAAGTATTTTCGCGCCGGTGATTCTCAAACTAAATTCAATTTACATTTCGAGTAACGGTACGATGCGAAAAGGAATTCCTTTTGTATCGGTCACGGACAAAGTGTAGAAAGTATACTGTCATATAAAACTTCTATTGTTATGAATCTTGAAAAATGGCTCGAATAGCGCGATTTGATACGAACTGGATTGTATGCTAGAGCCATCTTTAGATTTACATGCCTGGTATTAGGTATAGGAAGAGCGCAAACAAAGCATTGTATGGAATTCTAATAGGTATGTAAATAGCCAAAAATAATAATAACTACAAGTTGAATGTAGTTTTATTGCATAAACAAATAACTAAAACGATTTCCAAAATGAAACAATCAAACGCAACGCATGTCCCTTTTGGGAAATAAATAAATAAGTGAGAATGTTGTGTTTGTTTAAAGGACACATAAAAGCTTAAAAAATTGTTTGGTAATTACGAAAACGTTTATTTTTCTTTTTCGAAAAGGACTAAATTTCATCCCGTTAAGAAAGACAAAAAAAAAAAGAAAGTGCACAGATGCAAATGCCGTAGGACGGAGGGACAAATTGAAATGATTGGGTAAACTAAAAATCGTGTATTCCCAAGTGATGCAAGATAAAATAGGCAAATTTCATTCTTCGATGATGCATACGAATAATGCTTCCGTTAAACCATTTGACACTGACCTTGAGTTCACCAAAAGGACATTTAATTTTTGGCGGTAGCATAGAATATATTAAGTGGTAGGTAGATAGTGTCTAATAAAAGCCAAAAATTTATTCAATGCATAAGTTTTGAAAGTCCATAGGGCACCATTTACCATATGAAAAGGATTAGGCAAAATATAATTTTATTGGTCAACATAGGCTTTTTGAAAGACCTTCGTACAGAACGATTTGTCATCAGATCAACAAAATAGATTTCAATTTCCGCTTAAATCTCGTCAATTGAATGAAATCTTTCTCGTTAGAAACAATCAGTAGTCGATGAACGCAATCCAAACTTTAATTCATGCAAAATCGCCGATGCTGGTCATGGACTTTGCAGGCATAGTGCCTTTGCTTGACTGTGCGTAAACCTAGCAACTATTTGGATGGAGAGCAGCATTTCGCAAGCAATCACTCCGTGAGATGTCAGTTGCGTCCCTGCAACTGCGTTTTTCGAGGACCAAGAACAGTTTTCGTATACTTTCCCCCGATTGTTGTGTCTGCTGTTATCATTTCTTTACCCGCCTGTTCGCATACAATTTGTTGTCTTTATCGAGAAAGCGAACGCTGGCTTCTTTCCATACTCACTAGCACTATTTAAGTGACGAATGAATTTCAAATTTTCCGTTACGTTGAAAATGATAAAAATGGCGCCACTACCCATAACACGGATAATCGAAATGACATGACATTTTGATAGGCATCGCTTTTATTATTATTTTCAAAATATACAATAAATTATAGTAATAAAATAAACTAAATTAAAATAGTTTAACTTAAATATAAATATTTTATTATAATAACACTTCGACAGGCATTATAAATACTTCGCCCCAAAAATGAATAAAGTCTCTCGTAAATTTTTGTTTAATTTTTTCTTTTCTTTTTAGTTTTTTTGTTGTTTCTCCATAAAACTAGATTTTATTCAAATTAGCAAATCACTGAACGCTTAACTGAATACAAATTGCTTTAGTATTTCTTAATATTAATTTTCTTCATACCAAATATGTATGCATAAGTGTTAAGTTATTGATTAAATTATATGCAATCATTGTTAAGGAGCGTCTTATCTATAACTTGTCAGTATAATAGAAATATATTCAGAATGAATGAGAAAGTTCGTGCAGAGTAATGTGAAACCAATCAGACAAACACAATCAGACAAATCGCACTTCTATTCATCTTAAGCTTCTGAAATATTAATCACTTTCTCGAACGCAAGCCATAAATTTCCCTAATGATGATGATGATGATGATGATGATGATGTCTTAATCATAGAAAACATAGTAATAGGCTATACGACCGTTTGACTTAAAGTTGATAATGAAACGTTACCGTTGCTAAGAATATTCTTTACCTGATTACCGAGTGATCTTTTCATGCTTTGTATAAAAAGACTTGACCAGGCCCCTGAAAGCGAGACAGACAGATGTCTAGAATTACTTGAAATGGCGCCCATGTAAAAATGTATCGATTTTGCGCAGTTTGTTATGCGATCGTGTCAAGCAAGCAACGTAGTACTATTTTATTTCCGCCTTTTGCTATCTGTCGAGAAGCGATGCCACTTTCTTTTCCCTCGAACAACAACAAGACAAGGTTTAAACAAGGTTACAAATAATTGCATCTACATACTTGTAAGTCATGTGTATGCATGTATGCATGTACGTATGTATGTATGTATGTTTGTATGTATGTATGCGTGGAATACGTTGAATAAATAATTATTTCGAAACGAATGGCGTGAATTCGTCAGAACAGAATTGTATTTTATGTTGAGCCAATTTATGAGGTAATTACTGCAGTATTTCCTGAAAAGCACACGAAGAAAAAAAAAAAAAAAATAATAAGCAAAACCAAAATCATATACAATGGAAAGGCATTTGTTGTTGTTGTTGTTGTTGTTGTTGTTGTTGTTGTATATACAACAAGTGAGTATGAGATTAATGGTTGAATGATTGAACAGGAAAATATTTAATAGGGAGGGATATAAATAAAATATTGTATAGTAGTATGTCAACGGTAAAGCACTAATCATAACAGCAACAATTTGTTAATGCGAGCTTTGCAATAATTGCCAACAACAACAATTGATTGTTGCCATTGTCTTAGCAAATAATAATTTCTAGATTTCTGAAGCAGAAGTGCCCCTACAATGCAAATGTAACAATAGTGCAATAGCAACAGTAACAACAACAATAACTAATAACTATTAGCATAGAAAAATTCACTCACTCCCCCGCCATTCACAAACTTCAGCCCACATAAATGCAAGCAGATAGATATGTGCTTATGCATGCCTAGAAATTACTTACATGCTTACGGTATATTTGTGTATGCAGTCGCGTTTCTTTGTGTATATTTCTTTATGAACTCATTGGCAACAACAAAACAGTTGGCCGTACCATAGAATTCTTGGAATTATAATGAGCTCACATAATACGATAAAACATAGTGTTGTGAGGTAGTAGCGCGATGGCAAGAAGAGAGACGATATCTATTTTCAATTATCAACTACAACGTTTTTTACTAATTCTTTTG